GTTTAATAACGCCAAATAACAAACACATTCTTGGTGGAGAATTTGTAAACTGAACAAAGGGACACATCTCTGCAGTATGCTAAATGAATATGTTGCTTATAGTTAACAGAGAGAGGGAGGTACAAAGAAAAAGAGCAGAAATAGAAAAGATTGCACTCTAAAAACCATACAAAATACTTTTTTTCTGTAAAGCAGGCATCACAAACATAAGAGAAATGCTGTGGGTGCAGGATATAGGATATATGAAAACTTGTTTGGGGTGACTGGGATGTCTGACTTTGTCCTGCAGCTCTCATAAATAACATACTTGTCCCAAACTTACAGCAGTACAAACTCCCAGCCCTTGCGGCAGCTCATAGACCTTTGTCTGCTGTTTTGCTCCCGGGATGCCAGAGTTTCAGCAGAGGAGCTTCGGTCAGGTCTTTGAATCCCTTCGCTGGCTCCTGCTCCTATGTCATGTCAAACAAGCTGCCTATTCTCAATATCAAGGCCCTCAAAGCCTTTCCTCTATACCTCATCATGAGTAAGGATTCTGTGTGTGTGTGTGTGTGTGTGTGTGTGTGTGTAAATAAATGTATACTTAATACATATATACATACATACATATGGGCGGCGGGGCATTTTCCATGTCAGGATCAGCCTAGGTTAGAAGACTCCATCACTCAGTTGTTAAGCTAGTGTCTCCACGTTTTTGCTGCTACCAGGAGCCTCCACAAAACTTTGCACTGCCTTAGCGCAGATCTGGCCTGATGCTGCACTTTGCTGCATTGCTGACATTGAATGTGCTGCCCTGGTGCTGAGGGCATTGAAACACCTTCTCACCTCCCTGGAGAGCTGTATAATCACCGGATGAGACCCCACTCTGGAACGGGACTTGCAGAATCCCTCTGGTTAAACAGTTTTTTCATATAAAATACAAGGAAAGAAGAAGCTGCAGAAAGTCCCTGTAGTCTGTTGGCTGGAGTATTTCTCTGTAGGAGCAGGTTCCCAGGGGCTGTTTTAACTGTTGATATCCAGTACAGCAGAGCTAAAGAAGAAGCTGAGAGCCTGTAATCAAGGCAGGGAGAGCTCTGTTTATGAGCCCACAGGGTAAGGAAAATGGCATCACCGGGATCTGCAGCAGCTTTGAGAAAATCCAGCTTTTCATTTCCTTTGCTTCTTTCCAGGCACCCATTACGAGCTCTCATTTGGGGCCAGTTGCATAACTGTGTTCAAACCAAGCTGAGATTTTTTTTTTTAATAATAAAAGAAAAATAAAGCAAAAATTTATTTAGTTATTAGTTTCACTTCTGAGACAACTCTGACAGATCCATTATGTTCATCTGTTTTACACTAGGCCCTTGCCTTATGCTAGACTTGTGAGCTATTTGGGCCACAGACAGTTTCTCTCTGCAGAGTTCCTGATTGCCGCAGTAATAGGAGAAGAAAATAATTGGTATAATCTATTGGGGTTTGTTTGTAAGAATAAATAGATGTTGAATGTTTCCTCAAGTGAACACAACCACCATGTTCCTTTTTTAAAATTCTTTGATTTGAACTAATCACTCAGGGTCATTGTATACATATGTACGTTTCAGACTTGCATCCCCATGGAGGACATCTTGCAAGCACAGACTGAAGTTTATTTGGTTAAACATAAGCATGTTCTCCAAGTGTAGCGCCAAATTGGGCCTTCAGAGAGCACGCGACGGCTGCCCAGGCGCAGCAGGGTGATTCTGTACTGATTAAATTGAGGGGTATTAATGCTAGCAGTTTCCCTAACCTGTTCTCCTTCATACTGAGTCAGAGAATGGTCTGAACTAAGTGACTGCTCCCTCTGCCCAGAGACCCCTGACACAGGGACTTGAAATTACAGGTCTGAAGAGGGATTTCTTCAAGCCTCCCTGCCTCACTCACCCAATGCAAAATCCTCCATGAGAAAAACCTCACTGCATTAGTTTTACAGGTATTAACATGTTTTGTAAGCAAATCAATGCCTCCCTTTCAGTTTTCCCCAATACTGGTCTTGACTTGAGCTGTTTTGTGGTGGAGGTAAGTAGCACAACCTGTAAATATGAAAAAGCCACTGCAGAGAAGGTGTAACTGTGTGAGAGACAATTGGCCATCGCCGAGGCAGACATGTAGAAGGCCAAAAGATCCAGCAGTTTTCTCATTATTTAAAGTACTTTTCAAATAGAGGTCAGGAATACAGTCACCCTGAAAAGAAAATAGTCCATATCCCTGGATCTGAGCACACTAGTCACTTCTGTATAATCCTGGCACAAATGAATATCGGTGTGTCTCTGTAAACCCTAGAAAATCGTTAACACATGGAACATGGCAAATATACCATGAGCAACTTGGTTCAGAAGAATGAGCAGTACCCGATGCCTTTGCCACCTCCACCTGGAATTTTCCTATCAAGGCTGTCTCTGAATGTCCCGCAAAAGCTGAAATCTGCAGAAACTGTTTACCTGCCTAGGAGGTCTGGCAACATGCTCTCTGGTAACACCTGCTCTGCAAAACTCTGCATTAGATTCCAGTGTTCTCCCAGCTGCAGCTCTGACTTGGTTTGACTGGCTGTGCCAGACAGGATGTCAGCCCTTGCTCGTGGTAACAGGAGCTGAAACTAGGAGAAAACTTTGGGCTCTTGCAAGACCGAGCATTAAAAAGCAAGAAGAAGCAGCCTTTTTTCTTGTAAAGGTGATGAAGGTCCACTTGCAGTAGTGGGCTTACCTTTGGTGGTGTGATTATCTGGACAGCACGTCTAGTCCTCTATGTGCATGTGCAGTCTTATTCTTCACGAGATCAAAGGTAAATAAGGATAAGCCACTTAGATGATCTTCCCCAAGGTTTAGCCACTGTCTGAGGAAACACTGCGTGAGCCAGCCTACATGAAGTAAAATGCTACCCATTGACAATCAACGGAAAAGTTGACACTCATTTCAGTGAGCTTGTTAATTCATCACTGTTTTCCTAAATTACAATCAAGACATAGTGTGCAGAGCTTTATGAATGTACACTGATGCCTATAAAAATACAGTATTGCAAAGCTGAAGAGTTTCTGTTTCAGAAAATTGTGAGTAAATCTTGCCTATTCTATTATTTTCAGTAAAATCATCTGATCAAAAGTACAGTTTTCCGAAATAAAACACACAGAGTTGAAGGCAGCTAACATATGCTATCTTAGTGAGTATATTTTCTGAAGCAGGCCTTCCATCTGTTTCAGAACCTAATTATTACATCATCTTTATGTAGCCAGATTTACAATGAGGGAGTTAAATGCTTATGTGAGTGCTTCTTACAATGTGAAATGCAGCTGTGCATTTTTAGAGACAGAACAGAGCAAAACGTTCTAGACACACTGAATTTCATTTTTCTAGTGTGTTTATAAAGAATATTCCTTTGTAGCAAATATTTTTCTCATTCCCTTAGTCACGCATAATTGTATTTTGAAGAACCATACAGCACCCACTTGGATTGCAATAAAATGCTGAATATTTTTATCTGTCAAAGACAAAATTGCAAGTTTAGTAATCAAAACAGCGGTCTCTATTAAAAGCGCTTAGATCGTTTTCCCTAACCTAGCTGTCGCCAAATAAAGACAGATTAAGATTAATTGCAGTAATTAAACGAAGGGACAGGCTACAGCATTAGCAGCAGCAATGTATCACATTCATTGTTTCCAGATATTTTATTCAACAAGAAAATAGAAGATCACATTAGCGCTAGCCTATCCTGTGCACATTTTCAGTAAGAATTAAACCTTCAGCTGATACTCAGTTACAAGGGATGTGACTGTATACCTTGCCTAGCATATATTTCTTTAAAAATTGCTGGTAGAAGCAAGCCAGATTTATAACACATGGATTGGATTAATTAGATTATAACCCTCTGAAACAGTTTCACAGGTGCACTTTTTTTAACTAATAATTTTTTCTGGGGTTTCAAAATTCATCTGACAAGTTTTAGTGAAAGGAAAGGGAGAACAGAGATTAGGGTCTGGCCAGAGCTCCTGTTATAAGCAGAATAAGGAATGATCACCATTTTCTTTATGCCGTATTTTTTTGCTTTTGGGTGGCATTTGGGTTTTTTTCTGCTTTTGTATTTTGTTTGTTTGTTTTTTTTTGCTTTAAAAGTCACCCACTCTCCCTGAAGCTACTTTCAGTCACAGTATGGGATCAGGTTGCAGCGCCCTTAGGCTCACAACAGGACACTGAAAATTAACTGCATCGTATTTACCAGGCTTCACTGCAGACTTTCAACATTCCTGAAAGCCAAAATGTTGCTTGTTGTTTCCACAGAGACGGAAAGAGAGGACCGGTTCATCTCCCTGAGACACACTATGTCAGGATAGAGGGCCAGATTTAAAAATGCAGCTCGCATTTATGATACAGATCATTGCACGGGTCATCACCAGTTTTTGGGCAGAGGAGCATAGGCTTGGCATGATTCCTTCCGGCGCAACTCCAGACCTCCTGCTCTCCCAGGACACTTCTTCCCCTCCCTCTTGTCCCCACATCGCTCATTACAAGAGCAATCTCTGCTTAGCAAGACATGATCTGAGGTTATTCCAATTAAAAATATATAATTCCTTTGATAACCAGTTCGGTGTGGCGTAAACACACCCTGTTTTGGCAGCATTCGTGCAGCTCAAGGCTTAGTCATTAGTCATTAGAAGAGAAATATACAGGTTAAGAAATCAATAGGCAGTTTTGCAGGCAGAAAGGCAGCAGAAATTGGAGAGAGCTGTATTCTAGGAGGCAAACCTATTTTCTCCATGTAAGCTTTGAACTGGAAAGTGAACCTGATGCTATGAGAAAAACATAAAGTGTAACTGGGGAGGGGGAATGTGTCCTTTGTAAATAATTTCCCCTGAGTAGTTGCCTGTTTTGATATCTTTTGATTGAGCTATTTCTAGAGCTAAGCCTCTACTTGTAAATACTGATGTTAATCTTGTTTCAGAAATGTTTCATCCTGGCAAGACATTAATAAATAGTGCACCAGTAAATGTTTGGAGTACAGCCATGAACAAGGCCTTGCTGTAGCAGACAGATCAACAGCAGAGGCAGGTGAAGAGCAGGAGAGGGGTTCCCAGACGCCTTGGTGAATCTTCAGACCCATTTTGATCCAGTCAAGCCCTCGTCTGGTTTTTCATAAGCATTTGTACAAAACAGATTTAGCTTTTGTTACTGCTCCCAGAAAACAAATGCCAGTTTGAAGGCTGAAGTTTGTTTGAAGAGAAGGAAAAATCTGAGTTGGTGGAAAAAAGAGATACCCTTTAATGGTTAGGTCATCCAGTAGGTCATCCTTACAAACAAATAAAACAAGACAATATGTGTTCACACTCTTGGGCTATGATTCTCTCTTCCTGTAAGAATTACAGCAATATTCACTACAAACCATTCACTAATTGCTTACAAAAAAGGTTAGTTACACACTCCAAAAGGTAGTTACACACTCCAAAAGTGATTCATGATCATTGACTTAGGTCCACGTAGCAAGGGGGTCTGATTATGAGGAACTGAGCCCTGCAACAGTATCTGACTCTTGTTGCTTTTGAAAACCATAACCTGTATGCAGCAGTCTGCTAAATAATGAGCAAACTACAGGAAGCTGTCACTTGTTGCAATGAATTGTCATCATTAGCTGTGTTGTGGTTAAGGTAAAGATTGGTGGCCTGGGCTAAACAGTCAGCAATAGAGCCCCTCTGTTGACGTTTTGTACAAATGCAAAGCGTGCTGTACAAAAAAGACAGATTCAGCTCTGAATAGTTCCAGTCTGGATAATTCATTAACAGAACAGAGACGAATGCTATTTCCCTTATTCAGTGCATAGTCATGAATGAACTTATACCATTTATTTGGAGCTAAAGGCTTGCTTGCCCTTTATGCCAGGTGAAGATTATTAATAGCAACAAGTGTCACTGGAGGGAAGCGGCTCTTTGGTACAGCCTGTCCGTTGACAAGAGTCTGATCCCCTGTCCAGTTGAAGAGCAAGACTACAGCTGCCAAACAAATTGCTTTTGTTTGATCTTGTAACTGCAACCATGTAGGGAAAGGTGCCAAGTATCATTTTGAAGTAGCCTTCAAAAGTAGAGAGCTAAAATGAGAGGCTGCTCCGTGTGGGAACACAGCAAGCACTGGAGGAGATGGTTTTGCCTGACCTGGGAAGACTTACTGTTTTCTCATACAAGATGGTGCACACACTGTTACACAATTTAAGAAAATCTTGGATGCTTTGTGGCTTGGGAAGCATGTGAATTTTAGCCTAATCGTTTGAATGCAACATGCAGCCCATGTTAACAAAAAAGTGTTTTGAACCATATAGAGATGTTAAAAACCCCAAACAGAATCTGGCAGGGACTACGTTCACCTTACTTTTCCATAGCTTTTCCATAGACTCTTACAGCCAGAAGAATGTTGCTAATGGAAGTATATTTAGGGCTAAGTTTTTAACAGTACAGACAGCAACATCATGATTTGCTTTCATTTTGATGAAAAGAGATAGGTACGTTAGCATAAAAGTCAACAACTCATTACAAAAGTCACCATCTAGTGGTATGCAAGAACATGTACTGCTGCTCTTTAAGTTTAGAGGTTAAATAAACCTGTTGTTTTAGGGACTGAAAATAATGTCTTCAGTGCAGCTCAGAATGAACATATGTATTTAAAGTTATATATCTCAGTGGATATATATATGGTATATAATATTGGAATATATAATAATATGTTTGGGGTGTTTTATATACATGTATTAATATATTAGTATATAGAGATATTCTAAGTGAATTTGGTATTAGTCCATATAAAGTTTAGTTCAAATGAAGCTTTAATTCATGTATTTAAAACGATGAAGTGCAATAGTGAAACAGCTACATTTGTTTGTAAGCTATCTATTTTTTTGTCTTTTTCCCTTCTCTACGTGCATTTATATTTGTCGCCTCTCTTTGTATGCATCTATAGCTATATATATGCCTACAACTGATGGTCCATAGGATGACATCAAAGGTGTCTGTATTTCTGACCAGCCAGCTGAGTTGCGGAAAGAAACCTGTGGTTGTGTGGTGTTACTCTATAAGCACTGGAACAAGCAACATCTCCACCAGTGCAGCTATCTGTTCAGAGCGAAAGCTGTTAAGGCTAACAGTAAGAAGCTCATTATATTCCAAACTCTTACAGATGAGGCAATTTTTCACTCTTCTCAGCTGTGGTAAAAACTGAGGACAAACACAGCATTATAGTCTATTCAGCTTATATCTAAAAATGTTCTGAATTTATTTATCCCTGAAGAAAAGCTGTATCCAAGCCAGCAGTCTTTTTTCCTCTGGTCTACCTTTCCTATCTGCATTTATAGTTAATGTCTTCACTCAGGGCCAAGTCTTCATGACCTTATATGACTTTTACCTAATCTTTCCTCCTGCATTAGTCACCATATGAGGTTTGTCTGACTAAGGACTAGATTAAAACTTCACACAGAGAATGTGCACTGGAACTTCCTGATAGAAAAATCTTGTCGCAAAGAAGACATGATATAAGATTACAAAGGTGAACTAACGGCAAGCCATGCCATTTCTGCTCCTGGGCTTCCAAAGCACTACGAAATACACAGGGTGGATTTGGAGGTGGAGAAATGAGGTAGGCATGGTGTGCAAATAAACAACTACGATTAGTACTCGGCCACGTGGAGTGTTTGCTGCTGGGACTCCCATGGAAAGAGCAGTATCATCTGTCACAGAGGCTAATAAAAGGTGCTAAAGAAGGCTGACTTTTACTGTCTTCACCACGAGGTCGCTAATAGCAAGAACTTGACCTCTTCACACTGCTCTAACTACAATCTACTTTTAGGAGATATTTATCATTGTGATCTCTACCATGAAGGCATTGTGGCAAAAGATCTTTCCATGGGTGAGTGCTGCAGTGACAGAGCCAGACTTCATTAAAGGCAAGAGCACAGGTAAAGGAATTAAACTGTCTAATAAAATGCTTTGCAAGCTTTGGGGATGAATCTTTGGAAAACCTAGTCTGCAAAGCAGCGAATCTTTTTACAACCCTGTCACCAGCTTCCCGTTCCCACCTCCTTATGCTGAAGTCAGGAATGAGAGGAAGAGAGAATACTCTATATAAGGACTCAAATATGGGATTTCATTCCCTCAGTAGCAAGAAACCACACATCATCTTAGGCACAGTAACTGCCCATACTGTTTATACTGTTGTAAATACAAATAAAATATTTTACCCTAAAATCCGTCATTTATCTACCGCATTGTAGTGCGCATTTATTTTAGCCTAGGAGCAGGCATGTGGCCAGTTACTGCTCATGTGAGCTAAATCATTAGGCCTTACTTGCCTGCCTGAATCTTTCAAGTCTGTCACACCAGGTCCTCTGTGGAGCCTGAGAAGTAGAAGAAGAGTGTCTCAGACTCATGGATATCTCTGCCTCAGATAGGCTGAAAGTCCTGCTGCCAATGGGAGGATACACAGTCACACTATTCCAGATTATGTATTACCCTCAAAAATGCAATTCAGTCTTTTCTTCTGAATGGGTTTCCTGGCTTACTATATTCTTTTCTTTTCTAAAGGCATATAATCTTACAAGTGGTCAAAGGTATATCTTGTTTGACCTCTCCTTTTTACCAGAGCTTTTAAAAAATTCCTTTATACGGATGGTGTAGGCAAGATAGAGCACTTAAAGTTGGGGAGCTGTGGCACAAGCATAGAAGAAATAAAATCAGAAACGCCTTTGAAGATAAAGAAAAGCAGTAAGAAAGATTCTGAAAGAACAAAGCGGACTTAGGAAACACCTAGGCATCACCACAATTACTAGGAGAACACTGGAAAGATCAATAGCAAGAAGAGGCAGTCAGAGCTGCAGGTGGTGCAAATTAGCATAGCTCTGGTAAAGTCAGCAGTGCTATGCTGATTTACACCAACAGAGATTCAAGACTATTGCTAGGAAGGAATGTATAACAGCCCTACAACGCACAGATTTTACTGTCTCTGGAGAATATTGTTTCAGTCCCTCCCACGGTTTGTCAGTGACTGCTCCCTGGTGAGAACATGAAGAAGTTGTCAGGTCTATTAACCTTAACAAATGTAAATATGAACCCAAAATGTGGAAAAAAGGCTCTGATCTGAAAGGAATTTCATTCTAACAGAGTGCTGTGTTAAACAGCCGCTTAAGCAGCAGCCACAGGAACAGCAGCCACTGAGAAACAAAATTGTTCACCTTGTTCCTTTCAGGTTGTCCTACCTGCACGTTGCTTGGTTTAGCTGGCACCTCACGGAAGCAGCTGCACTGAAGCAGCTTTCCTCCCAGGTAGAGTCGCTCGTGTGATTTATTACAGAGAATTTATCTTGGGATTGCAGGCCTTTCTTCTCCAGTCAAGACTGTTGTTTGCAACTGTTCAATGCATCTGCAAACAAATCTTATCCACTGACTTACTCACAAAGCTGCTGCTAGGAATAATCCATATGTTTAGTTCTTGTAGCATCTGACTGGAGCCACGAGCCATATTCCCTTCTTTCTGTCCCCTGAAAGAATAGGATCTCCAATTCAGTGAAAAAGGTTATTTACAGGTTATTCTTAAACATGGAGAATGGTGTGGTGTTAGACCCAGGGCAATACTAAGAGATGATGTGGCATATGACTTTTTCCAGGACAGAGTCCTTAATGATTATACTTCCCATAAATATTATTGCAACAAAAGCAAGCAGTTAGAAATAGGCTTACCCACCATCTCCTGGCCTCATACAGGAGGGCCTGGGGGATCCTACTGCTCCAGGGCTGAGATGCCAGAAGCTGTGTGAAGTGACATATTTCTCCTTGTGGAAAAGCTGCTTCAGAAGAGTTCCCTGCACAGAGCACTTCCCTGGAAGGGCTGGGATGGGGTTAGAGGGAGGCTTGGGCTAGCTAATCCTTCACTTGGCAGATCCTTTCCTTTTCCTGCCAACGTAAACACACAAGCTTGCAAAAAATGCTGGATAAGATCCCACTAATATTCATTCTGTGCTTTGGGCTGTGCAGTATTTGCAAAGCAGCTCTGCAGCCCTTCTGCAGCATAAGAAAGAGAGATTCCAGTGTTTAGCTAATGCATTCAGGTCCAATTCTCTGAGGTCCAGATTCACAGAGAGATTTAAAGCTCACCACTGCGATGCTTAAGATGTCAGGGGCCTGGCTGTGCTTGGTGTTCCCAAGGCTGAGTTATGCGCTAAGGGGGGGACAGCTGGGATCAGGCAGATGGGCTGCAAATGCTGAAAGCATGAGCTGTGAAGGAGGGTTTTCTGTCTCTGGAATATTGTTTGGGGCTCAGGCTTCAATACTGTGCATTCAAGTGTTGGCAAATACACGATTTTTCTCATACAGCAGGGAGGCAAGAGGAGAGAAAGGATTCCTTTCATCTAACAGCTTGGAGTACAAGGGTACTTGCCCAATTGCCAGGCTTTGAACTTCTGAGCAAGCAAACAAAGTAGGAGTTCAGAAGCAACCAGAAATTTGCCTTTAAATACGAGAATATTTATGAATCATTTCCCTGCTATAGGCACACAACTCTGCTCAAGGAGGCAGAGGTAAAAGACAGGACTATACGTGAAGGAAGAACTTAAAATATTTAAGGGATGCCTGCACATTAGGTCCCTCTAGTTGCATTTGCATTTGGATACAAAGAACTACTTGTTTTTACTGTTCTTTTCTTCCATTAACAATAAGCTATTTAAACTTTTATGGAGGTTTGCTTTCATTTTTGAACTTTCTTCAGTTTGTTGGTTTCCAAGTCAGGGGTAAAATGGATAGCCCTTCATGTTATTTAGCATGAAATGGATTACAAGAAAGTGGGACATCTAGGAATAAAAAGTCTTTAGACTATATGTTCATGTAAGTGTAAAAAGTACGGCAAGGCAGAGTGTCTCTCAAATTTTGCTACAGATTTGTAACAATAAAAAATAGACTCAGAGGAAAGTTAGCCATGAGCTGTGTGATTTGAGCAGTTACCTTAACACTCAGTAAAAAGATGCAAAAACTCAAAACAGTTCAGTCTTAGAAGAAAATGCAGAACCTAGAAAAGTATAAAAAGGCAGTAATAGGAAGATCTGATGATACACTTGATAAATGCAAATCTAGGCTGTTTTCTAGTTGGAAACATATAAAACCTCCCTGTCACAACTGTGCCAGGGGTGAGAAGGAAGGAAGGAACAAATGGGCAGGCAAAGAAATGAAGGAAGAATTGCACCGATCTTATATGCATTGTAATATACTATTATCGGGGCTTGGGTAAAATACAGTATGACAATGAATGGAAACTAGTATCAAGATGATAATTTACAACACAGAGATACACAGAGCATTCTGTCAGTGTTTGGTAGGAGGGAAAAATAATGCCCGAGTCATTCGGAAAGTGCTGACAGTCTGTTTATAATACCCACATCTGTCACCCTGCACTCTGTTGTAATCACATCCCCCTTGATGGGAGAGAAGATCATGTACATCCCTAGGGAAGGATGTACTCGTATGAATCTGCAGGCAACATTCAAAGAACAATCCACTAGGAACTTGCCTAATTCAAAAAGCAATGGAGCATACAGTGCTTATAAATGAAGATAAAAAAATAGGAGAGAGAGAGAGAGAGAGAG